TCGGTGAGTGATACAGTTCGCAGAGTTCAGTAAAATATGCGTTTAATGGAATCAGCGTAAATTAAAATGAAACTTCTCCACTCTTGGTGGCTGTATTGCGAGCTACAAATGGGCTTCGAAACGCCAAAGGCGAAGAAATCCTACGCCCACTAACTCCCCCATGTTCTCGCTGTATTGAACCGAAAGAAACGTTTTATATTAACAATTCATAGCGCACTTTGATTTCTATAAGGCTTCGGATTTTTTAAGGCCCAAGTTTATTAAACAAAGACCGAAATTAATTGACTCATTTCCATGCCAACTCTAAGCAGGGTTTGGCATTCACGAAAATACCTATTTACGTTTAATTCACTTTCTTAAAGTGGGAACTAAATTTTGTTATTTGGAGTTTATTCCATTCCTATACGGCTAAGTTATCGTGGGTGGAACTGTGGCTAACTTTACTGCTGCTGTATAATTACCGTACGTAGATTTGCAATGGAAACATACTTGTCTACAAATTCCAACTGTTAACATTACGTTTATCCATTTTTTTCCACGTCAAATCAGTCTTTCCCTTTTTCTCTGTCAACCAACTGTTTCGTTGGCCCACTTTTGGAAAACACTATGTACGGACATGAAACACAAAGAAATTACTACTCCATTTAAGGCTGCTTTTTGTGAAACTATGCGAATTTAGTTGTAAAAAACTGAAATATTTTAAAAAGTTGAATTTCATATATGAAACTATAAGAGAAATTAAAGATTAGCGATAGATTTTTATTCGGTTAATACAGATTAATTTTGGGAAGTGAAAAAACTAAGAGGACATCAAATGGTGATAACACAATTTATTCTCAGAACAAAAAGGCCATTTTTTCGAGGGGTCAACTGTCGTCAAATTTCTTGAAACACTTGTGTCGGTTTTCTTTCCCCAATGTTGTTTCGAGTATCACAGTCGTCTCACTGCTCTGACGAAATACGTTTAGCTAAAAGGTAAATAGATTTTGCCATGAGTTGTTAGAAAGAAATGGCGAATTTACAATTTGGCTGTATTGAAGTTTAATGTTTAGATTTCCAACTTAATCATATAACTACTTTTATTTAATTGCTGGATGTGTTCCGTAAGATTCCTTGTTGTTTTCTGCACCCTCACACAATGGGAAACAAAGAGTGTTCATGGATGGTGGTAGCCCCTAGACTGCTATAACCTTCGTTATTGGAACGCACCAAGTGGGATGTATTACATAAAGCTTCTCGGGCCATACACGCGAGGCGCGCTCAACTCTCGTCAAATTTCTTGAAACCGCATGTGTCGGTTTTCTTTCCCCAATGTTGTTTCGGGTATCACAGTCATCTCACTGCTCTGACAAAATACGAGTGGGTCAACATTGAGAAGGTGACAGGAACATTTAGAACATTTAGGAATGATTTAGGGAGATTTTGTTTCTCTAATTCAAAGATTTGTGACGAGTATTGTCATGATTTTCTTTAATTAGCTCAGTGTAACTTTTTAATGTTGTTACTAACAATAGTGTCACTTATGACGTCAAAAATACCATTACAATGGTAAAAATTTAAAGAAAACTTTTCTCCAATTAAGATGTTCTAATGTCTTTCTTCATTTGGGATATAAACTACAGTAACTCCTTTATGAGCCAAAAATTGAATTTAAGAAGTTGCGGGAGGAAAAGCCCTAGCAACCGACCATCGTAAAAGGTATTATTTAATCTGATTTAATATGATTTAAGTCAATATACTAAAAACATAGAAACAAATTAAAAGTTGGACAAAAATGACATATACATCATTAGTTAGTTAAACAACAGCAGTTATTTTCTCAGGAATTTCGATTACCCTTTTCTCCTTGACTGATGCTATCTTGAACCGATGCCTGTAATAAGAACACAGAAAGAAGTGATGGTTAATTCTTGTTTGTAATCAATCCAACAAGAGCATTTACCCTTAAAAGGATGAAAATTAATTCCTTATTAAATGAGATGTTTTAACAGCTGGCAAGGAACGCATAATTAAATGCCTTAAACAACTGCCAAGACTCGGTCAGCTGTCTAGTGTTTAAAATCAATTTTCCCAGCAGCTTGAGTTCAAATCACGTTTCAGCTTACTCTAGCTACGACAAGGTAGGTGATCAGAAATGTTTCGATACTTTACGACAAACTCTACTTGCAATAGAAACACACTACAGTTGAACCTCTCAACAACGGCCAACTCGGGAACAGAAGAAAGTGGCCGTTGTCTGAGAGAGGTTTAAACAGGAGTCAATGTATGACCTGTCCGCCCCAAAAAGCGGCCGTCGAAGAGAAGTTTCCCGTTGTGATTAGGTGGCCGCTAGTGGAGATTCGACCTTATAACCGCTTCGAATTCGGAAGTTGAAACGGAAAATTCATCCCGATTTTAATCCCACAAGGTCCCACAAAGGGCATGTGACTCATTTAAGCGCATTATAACGCCCAACTTTGGGGATAGGCACTTTCGAAATATCGTCAAAGGGACGCAGAACAAGTCTTCAATTGCCGTATGGACTTATAGCGAGTAAAATTATGCACTCCTTCAGAATATCGCTCTTCTTACCTTTATTTCGTCGTTCTTGACTAAGAAAGTTTGTTAAGTGATTTGTAACCAGGATCGCATTGCTTGTTTACCTTTTACATGGGCAAACCGGTCGGGTCAAGGACAGGTAAATTTCGTCCCGGAACGCACGTTTACCATTTTTACAAATAAGTTCCATTCACCAAAAAACGGCGCAAAGGCCGGAACCTCGTATCAAAGATGACTTTCAAGAAATGGAACACGCCGATTTCCGATCGGAACATTCTGTCAGGAAAACTGGGCTACCTTTTCAGATCTTCCTCTGAAACGACCCAAAAAGTCGCGCGCCATTTATTTTCCTAAATACTGAATTCCTGAATTTTGAGCGACTTTCAGTTACGGACTTCTGCTCCAACGATTTTTCTGAAATTCCTCTGGTATATTTATTATGTTAATTAAAGCCGATACCGGAAATTTCTGTAAAAAATTACAGCAACTTTTTTTTACTAGACGCGATTTTCTTTGAACAGAAGGGTCCTTTTAAGCCCTAATTTAGCAAAATATATTTACCATCAATGAAATCGGAATATTTCGTACTATTGCCGGATGATATCTGTTGTTCTTTACAAAGTTTCTCAGAAAACGAAAAAAAACGAAAAAGTTATGACTCACTCCCCTACTATCTGAACGCTTGGAACAGGCTAACTTTCGAATAAAAGCGAGGGAAAAGCGAGCAGCATGGTACACAAGTGTGCGTTCACGTACTATCAAATTGTGAATACACAGGGATAAAGTTGGTAAAAAAGCTTACTTGCGGGTTTACTAGGAATAGCAGATTTGTATTTTCTATATTATCCTTCAATTAATATGCGGTCGTGAACTATACTAATGCGGTCCAATTTGTAACGTACTTTTCGTAGAAATAGAAGTCGTCGATCGGTTAGTCACTTTAAAGAGAAGCCGATCCCTTCGGCGAATCAAGCTTATCACATCAAGTGAGGATTTCAGGGCAGGGATGTTGTTTGTAATCGTTCCAATTGAAGAAAACCGAGAATGTTTACTTAGTGGCTGAAGGAAGTGTGTTGGTAAAATTTGCTACCGGTAGCACTTGTTAATTATTACGACAGATTTCAGAACGAAAGAGTTTCGGCTCAAGACGTGTTTCATGTTGGAATCCAGAGACTTTCGTGTTCAAATCATTATTTTCCCCTTTTGTCTCATTTCTATCAGTGAACTTATTTTCACGTTCAAAAGTTCTTATTGGAAAGATAAATGAGAAGTAAAACTGAAGCTCTGAACTTGTCGGTGAGTCACAGAGTTCGCGCAGCTCAGTAAATATGCTTTTAGTGGAAATCGTCAATTCAAACCAGCGTATAAATTAAAATGGCTCTGAATGAAACTTCTCCACTCTTGGTGGCTATATAGTGCGGGCTACACATAGGGTTCGAAACGCCAAAAGTAAAGGATCCTACGCCCTATAACGCTTCTATATGTTCTTGCTGCAATGAACCGAAAGAAACGACTTATGTGTTAACAATTCATAGCACACCTTGATTTCTATAAGGCGTCGGATGTTTTTAAGGCCTAAGTTTATTACTCAAAGACCAATAACAATAGACTCATTTCCACATCAACTCTAAGCAGGTTTTGGCACTCACGAAAATACATATTTACGCTTAATTCACTTTCCTTAAGTGAGAACTAAATTTTGTTATCGGCCGGGTTTTATTCTGTTCTGTTGATAGTCTATTCTATTCCGGTTGTATTCTACTCTACTCTACTCTACTCTACTCTACTCTGTTCTTTCAGGAGTCTGATTCTCCTGCATGTATGTCCTCACGGCTTTACACTTGCCAACTTGTGAGTCCCATGACGGATTTTCCCAATTGCTGCTCATAACCATCATGCTACAACGCCTGTGACATTTAGAATAAACTTAGTTTTATTTACATTTCGGTAAAGATAAAATCATTATAATCAGTATTAATTGCAGGAAGTATTAACAGGAAAAAAAAAAGCTGTTAGAAAATCTTTGAGCTTTTAGAGCTTCGGCAGAAGTCCTGGCATAAATATGGGTAATATTTATCACGATGAATCAGTCGTCTTCGAAGAGGTTTCGAACACATCGTCGGGCTAAGTCGGAGAACTGAGGATCTAATTAATGGGAAGATTTAACCCTATGATTATGCCCTATACGCGCCTTATCTCGCAAATCAGGTGGCTTTGAGAAAATGTTATTTCTTATTCAAACATTTCCTTCTTCTATTTACAGATTTTTTACGTTTACTCGCTCACTCACAGACAGTCGATATTTGTGGCTAAAGGTAAAAAAATTAGATTTTGCCATGAGCTGTTAGAAAGGAATGGCGAATTCACCGTTTGGTTGTTACAGGAGCCCATGAGCCTGGTTGTATTGACGCTTAATGTTTAGATTTACAACCTAATTATAACTACTTTTATATAATTACAGGATGTGGTCCTTGAAAGTCCTCATCGTTCTCTGTACCCTCATACAGTGGGAAGCAAATGGGGTTCATGGAGGGTCGTATCCCACAGACTGCTCCAGCCTTCGTTTTCAGAACGCACCAAGTGGGATGTATTACATACAACCGCTCGGGCCAAACACCCAACCCATTCGTGTGTACTGCGAAATGACAATCGGTGGGGGTGGCTTCACCTTTCTTCCCCGCAGCCTTACAAGAATATCATCAGCGAGCAGGATTGTCAGAGCTTTATTTCGAGACAGGTACAATGTCCTGCTGAAGTTGAAGAAGAAAAGTGGTAGCGAGTCATACACTCTGATCCAGCCTCATCCGCATTTCGCCAGCACAGGGTTTGGGATGTTAGTCAACAGTTTCCATGGTTACACCAGACCGCTGAACGCCTTCATGGAAGAGTACATCCTTCTCGGTATTATTCCAACATACGCTGCAGGCCGCCGTAGTATCCAAGGTTTCAAATCCAACGGGCACATAATCCAGTTCCAAAATTGCGATGCCAATCCCAACAGCTATTTTGCATTCATGCCAAACCACAATCATCAAACTCCCAGTACCTACCACAGCCACAACCTAATCGACGAGAAAGTAGGTGTGGGTGTCGACTGGCGCTCCAAGGCAATTCCCATCACCCATCCTCATCGCACCATGCCGAACGAATTCTTCTTCTTGACAGAGCTGCATTTTGGTGGTTGTGGAACCTACACCTCTAGTGACCGATGGAGCAAGTTTGGCTTTCATGCCACCGCCATTGGAATTCGCTAAGAGTTTGCTTTTCCCTTCTCACCTTTAGATTGCTAATTCGACGTAGCCACAAACTTCTGTTTTTGTGTTGACTTATTTTGGGGTAAAACGTCTGAAATTTTGGTGTTTCACTTTTCACAACGATTTCAATAAAACTACCTCAAGTTTCAAGTGCTCAGTACATTTCGGAAAGTTGGTCGGTTTCGGAAAGTAGATGTAAATGTAAGTTAAATTCATGTCAGACAAAAACAGGGTAAGTGTTTGTTGTAACTTAAAGAAACAGGTGAGAACAAAGAAAAATAAAAGTTGTTAAAATGGTCTTTGAGCCTCTTACTTCTTGACGACCGGCATTGCAACAAAAATATCTTTGATTAGCGACACACAACGGACGTCATTATCACTATAGCAGTGAGAGCAGCAGTTTAAATTGCGATTGATTAGTCCGAATGCGCTCGCATAGGTCAGATTTCACCCAACGACTGCCAGTTGTTTCTGTAAAATATCTGTTCGAACAAGCAAACAAAGTCCATAATTTTCTATAGCTTGAGGACGGTTGAACAGATGATCTTTCCATTCGGTGTTGGGGGGGCGGGGGGGGAGAAGAGACGAGGTCTGGGACGAGAAACCACATTCTCACAACTCGCAAAGCGGTCACCCTGTGTGGTGGTCAGCGGATAATAGCAGTTTTTTTCCCACGGTAAATATTTTGACAGAAGAGAGAAGCGAACCGGCAGAGGAAATTATTAAAAATTAAAAAAATAATATCATGCATCTTTGTTTTCTTGCATATCGTATTTGTCTTTTGGTACTGAAATGCGGGGGAAACTAAACCGCAACCGTATTAGATCTTAACCAACAACAACACGCTCGATCGATTTGAAGGTTACATCGTTTTTGCCGGGCGAGGACGTCTGAAGGTTATAGAAGTAATGATGCTGATAAAAATTACTGGAGAAGGTGTCAAATTTATTGGGAGTAAGCATATTCAAGAGAGCCATATAAATATGAGCTTAAAGCTGTACATATCATACCTGAATAAACATATAGTTATACTTCGTATAAACCGCATAAACCTGATTTCACTTCGTTTATTACGATCAGTCAACACCTTGAATTCAAAGTTAAAATTTAAAACAATCCTTAATAAACAAATCACAGCTACTACTGAAAGCTCTGTATCTTGAAGCCACCTTAACTTTCCCAAGGTTTGAAGCAAAACACTACTCTACAGCTCAACTCTTCGGCCGTTCGTATCAGCTATACGCAGCTATATGTTGCATATTCCAAAACCACACTCTATGTCTGAAAAGCGACGTAAAATCAAAAAAATTGCGAATTACCAAAATATAATAGTGAGAAACTGTCCCGCCTTGGGCGACCAGGGGCGCTTTCCATTCAACAAAAATTCCGGTTTGAAAATTCGGAAACTTCACTTGCTCAATGAAACGGTACATTCCGGTTTCACAGACCGGACCCAAGCCACATCGGGTACGCTCAAAACTCAAAATTACACTCTAAAGAACACTCGACTGTCGAAAAGGGGCGGTGGAAAACTAATGGCGGAGGAATCCTATTTCGTGTAGAAAGCCATATTTTGGCAAGCGAAAAGTATGGATGCAAATGGAGGTAAAAAATTATCGTGAATTGAAGCGATCCGTTTCTCAGAACTGATTCGAACAATTCGAAGCAATTCCTAGAACTGTACGGTAAATAAATTCGGTGTTTTGCCCAAATTTGTATTCAGCCAGGCTTTGTTGTATTTATTTCAGCTTAATTGATAAATTGCTTTGGATAAATATCGTGGACAGGTTTCAGACAAATAATACGCTGATTTATTCTTACGGACTTTTATACAATTGTAGCTTGATCACACACACTTTTTTTCACCTACGTGTAGTGTTGCGTCAGTTATTTGACACTGATAATGGCAACTATCAAAAATCGAAAGAAATATTGCCTCTGATTCAAACTATTTATTTATACAATTGTAGCTTGATCACACACACTTTTTTTCACCTACGTGTAGTGTTGCGTCAGTTATTTGACACTGATAATGGCAACTATAAAAAATCGAAAGAAATATTGCCTCTGATTCAAACTATTTGAGATGTCACGCTTTACTCACAGCACTTCACTTTCCACTGGAAACTACTTGTTCTTGTAAGCAGGATACAAAAGTGCTGTACTGGGGGCAACAATTTTGACAAATGGAAAGAGACATTTCAGTCCGACCGACCAAAATGACCAGACCGGTCAAAGTGGACCACCTTCAAAGCTGGTCCCGAATATTCCAGTCAGACCAAACCGAAATGGTCCGTTCCATTTGATGTACCAACCGAAATTTTCAAAATTTTGGGGTGAATGGAAAGCGCCCCATGTTTGTGTTCCTTCTCAAGACCGATATCTATAGTTTTTGACTTAACGCGCATGATCAGTACACAATCCGATGGCAAGACCCTTACTAATCGCTTTGCAAGTTGTGAGAGCATCGTTTGGATTTCATTTAAAAGAATCTATGAGAAGTAGCTTTTCCCCCGGTTCCATTCACGTGGGATTTTCGAAGCTTATCGAAAAAATTTGACTCTCATTTTCTGACTTGATTTTTTTACTTGTCACTCCCCAGGTTTAGCTATTACTCGTGGAAAAAGGAAAATATTGATAACATCATCAATGAGCCGTATGCAAAGGAAAACACCTTTGATAAATTCTAATGTTTCGTTAATGGGCTAAGCCGCTGTTAGATCCGACCGAGTACGGGCTCATTGTCACGATACACAAACAAGACTATCCCCGAAGGAGAGGTGAATAGTGGTGGCTGGATACACCGAGGCGCGAAGCGTCGAGGCATATATCTAGCGCTGTTCACCTACCCTGAGAGGGATAGTTGTTTTAGTATTTACCAAATCAGTTGGATAAAACTGAAAAAAAGTAACTTTTTGTAAATTAAAAACGTCACTTTGTTCACAATTTACAAACATTTTGGGGATTTTGTCAAGTGCATTTTTTCGATTTTGTTGCAAATTCAGCATGTAAATAATTTTCTACCTACCCGTGAACACCGACAAGCTTAAGTTCGTCGCTTTCTTGGTATTTGTTTGCACGACTGCTTCATTTATCGCACAAATTTCGTCTACCGAAAATATCTCGAAACCAGACGCCATCTTGGTTCCGGTCGCAAAACAGTGAATCAGCCAAGGTTATTTCGAGTTACGGGAGCCAATCAAAACGTGCAAAAATTGCTATTCACTGATTTGATAAATACTAATTTCAATTATTCTGAAATGTGTTCAAAATGCAAGAAATTATGTCTCGAACGAGAGGTTTTGCATGAAATTTGGGCTATTTTTAGAAGAGATATTGAAAAATGAGTATCAGGAAATTCCGCCGTGGAGTCCATACTGAAATTTACGATGTTTTCAAAGTTAAAAACCAAAATAAATTTCAATCGAGTAGTGCAAAATGTAACTGGACCTCAAAGTAAGCATCTTTAACTCGCAGAACCGATGCAAAGAGGTTGTACCCGACGAACTTGGACGCGAACTGGAACACTTTAACTCGGCTCTGTTTCGGCGTCTTATCGCCGACAGCCATACAATAGGGTCTTCATGGGGTTAACCGATAGGTGTAAAACGTCCAAAAATTTAGTCGATAGCCTTAAAAATTGAAAAATTTTAACCGTTAGTCGTAAATAGGGTAAGAAAAAGTTGACTGTAAAAGAAACTGTTCCCTAGATTTGTAAAAGTAACCGTTGACATTTCTACGGGGTAAAATAGCATTAGAAGTGAAAAACTTACAAGTATGATCTATCAAATGTTAAAACGTTTCAAAAGAATAACTTATTTCATCCCGAGATGATCCCAAGACCTTTATTTTGCTTAAAGATACAAAAAATACAGGTTTATTAATAGTTAAGTCTTTGAAACAAAAGAAATTAATTTTCAACATTTTTGTTAACCGTAACTGAAAAAAATTAAGCGATAGCCGTAAAAGAGCCAAAATTTTAGCCGATAACCGTAAAAGCCACGACCCCATTGAGACCCTCATACAAATCCTTACAGTCAATTTGCAAATGTGTTTACCGAAACGGATAAAAGTTGCAAGGTACTTATAAATGTAGATTCATTTAGTTTAACAAAAACACTGATGGAATTGATGCGATGTAGGCGAACTCTAATGCCTCTAGGACAGTTTCTTGTTTTTCGATCTTTTCTCTGTCATTGTAATGAAAATTGCATTGATATTTTTTAAGTGTCGCCTGTCACTGCGCATGTCGATTCGAAATTTCTGGCGATGGGCCACCCCCTACAGGAAAGGGACTGATGCTGATGCGGTTTCAGCACCAAACTTTTTGAAGCTAAAAGCATTCATAAATAGCAAAATTATCGGCGAAAACAAGTTTGAAATACCAGAGATTACGCGGGAATTTGGTCTAAATTATCTCAGCAAACTGCAGGTCGGCAAAGCAACAGGCCTTGATGGTATCAGTGCTCGATTGTTGCGTGCAGCTGCTCCTGCTTTAACTTCTTCCTTGACAAAGGTCATCATCTGAGTATCAATACTGGGAAATTTCTGGCGTGTTGGAAAGAAGCTAGAGTCTGTCCTGTCTATAAGGCTGGAGACTGACTGAGTGGGGATAACTATAGTCCAATAAGCATTTTATCCATCCTTTCTAAGGTACTCGAGAGACATGTATATTCTTCAATGTATGAGCACCTCACCAAACACAATCTTCTGAGTATCCACCAGTCAGGATTCCGTCCGTATCACTCTTGTGATACAGCTTTGATAAAGTTATCAGACAGCTTAGTTACCAACATAGATGAAGGACTAATATCTGGCTTAAATCTTACTGATTACCGCAAGGCTTTTGACCTGGTTGGCCGTGCTACACTGTTTAAGAAACTCTCCATCTATGGAATCTCAGGTAGGTCACCCCAATGTCTCAACAGAAGGTCATGAAGGTCTCCTCAATCTACTACGACTGGGGTTCCTCAAGGCTCAATCCTCGGTTCCCTATTATT